GGGGCTTCTGGGCCAGCCGGAGGTCAACAGGGACAGTGGAATTTGCTGTGTACGTCCCACCCCTCAGCCACACAGTCCAGATGCCAGCCTCAGGGCACAGTGTGATCTGCCCCTTCCTTTTGATGGACTCTCTGACGACTCCTAAAGTCCAGACGGACTTATTTTTCACCTTCACCTCCCAGTAGTGTCGACCTGAGGTGAACCCATCCTTTCCCAGGACATCGACACAGGAAGTAAATCTCTCTGGATTGTCAGGCAGATCCTGTCGTGTGTCACCATGTCTAACTTGTTTGCCATCCTCAGACAGGATGAGATGGGGATGAGCTGTTCTGGGGTCCAGAGTCACGTCCACTATGGACAAGAAAGGAGACGAATGAGAAGATCTGTGGATGAACAGTGTTAAGTAATCCCAGTGCACTGAACCTATACTTTGTGTATCTTTAATGAGATTGACGAATGCTTGAGAAACCAAACAGTCTCACCTGCATTCCTGCGTGCCCTCTCAAATTCTGTAAAGAGAAAGAAATGTAACAAGATTTAAGTATGTGTCCAGCTGGAGATAAAAACAGGTGTGTCTTCACTGCTGTCTGTGTTGAGTTCAGGTGTGTGAACAGGTGTGTCTTCACTGCTGTCTGTGTTGAGTTCAGGTGTGTGAACAGGTGTGTCCTCACTGCTGTCTGTGTTGAGATCAGGTGTGTGAACAGGTGTGTCTCACTGCTGTCTGTGTAGAGATCAGGTGTGTGAACAGGTGTGTCTCACTGCTGTCTGTGTTGAGATCAGGTGTGCAGCAGGGTGATCTTGTGTGTCAGGGGTGTGTGCAGCTGGAGAAAGTGCTGTTTGATGCTGCTCCTCCCACAGGGGAGTTTGAACTGCTCTCTGTCCCTGAGCCTCAGCTCTGCCTCACTCCTTCACAGTCAGAAGCTCTGGGACAGAGAAAATGCTCAGACTCCTGTGAGGAGGGCTATGACCTCAGTCTACAAGCAGGATCCTGACTTCAAGGTCTTGCTTCAGAGAGCCCCTTCTCATAAAACAACAAGCCAGAGGAGCAGGTGCCTCCATAGAAAGAGCAGACCTGACTCCCAGGAAAAAACATGCTACAGACAGACAAATCAAGACTTGTGGTGACACTATACTGTATAAAAGCATCAGTGAGAGTCAGTGAAGATCCTGACTCTGTGTGGTCATTAAAAATCCCAGGGTGTTTCTCGAAAAGAGTAGGGGTGTTACCCTGGCGTCCTGGCCAAATTTCCCCCTAGCCTTTACCAGTCATGGCCTCCTAATTATCCCCGTCTCTGAACTGGCTTCATCCTTCTGCTCTCCTCCCCACTGAGAGCTGCTGTGTATGAGCAGCCTGGTGCATCATCCAGGTGGGGCTGTTTGCTCGTCAGTGAGAGTACATTCTCAAATCGTTACAGCAGACAAAGAAGCAGAATCTGAGAAATCTATTCACTAGGACAGCAACTGATATGGGGATATGCTTTTTTCCTCACCCTGTGCTGGCAGGGAGATGGCAGTGAGCTCCCTTTCATTAGCTCACATCACATTCAACCTGTAAATACTGATCTTCTAGTGATTCTGAGCCCTGAGATTCCAACAGCACAGGCACACACCACTGTTGTCAGTACTGACACTACTGCACTTCTGCTGTCACTACTATTGTTGCTTCTCTTGTCACTGCTACTGTTAGGGCTGCTGTTTCTGCTACTGTCACTACT